TTGGCAACATTAGCTACGAAAAAACTTTTCATGGTTTTAAAATAGTTTGGAAGAGAATTATTCACTGAGGGAAATATACCTTTGATTGCTTTTCAGCCTTTAACTCAGTCACGTAAAAGAAATTTGTATATACATCTATCTGAGTTGGATAAATCAAGGTCACCCATATTTCCGAGTGAAGAAAGACAATGAGAAAATAATCAAATATTCGCACACTTTGTCATGCTTTTTCAACGAATGTTCTGCCATATTCTTCTCCAGCATGAAACACCTTTGCATGTCATGCTGTCACAGTTCAGACCATGTTATTTTTGTGGTATTCTGAATTTTTTTAATCCAACTCAGATAGGTTTATATACGAATTTATTCGTTTTTATTTACGATAAGAATTAAAGTATGGTGTCACACCCGAAATTTAGGGGGTAAATCACTAGTTGCAGACCTTAGCCCGGGGACAAAACATGTTGTTTTGATCGGACGATCAAGATCACCTGCCGTGCTTGATAGGTCATTAACTCAGGGACGTAATTTATTATATATTAGCACATCACGGTTTGTATGAAAATATAAGAGGGGAGTGTCAAGGCAGAAAGCAACATTATTTATCCGTAAGATGTTGGAAAATTGTGACGATCAAGTTGACAATGAAATATCAATTGTGTGCTGGCGAATTCAGATATCTACGTGTTCGTTGCTGGAAGTTGGGATCGGACAATCGCAGAAAGCGGTGCGATAGAGATCAGCCGAAGGACTGCACTGCTCCCACCTGCCTTCACTCAACACAACGTCCAAATAATACTATTGTATTAGCCATAAGTTAAAGACAGAAAAGCAGTCAAAATATAATTCTCGCAGTGAATAATTGTTTTCCAAACTATTTTGAAACCATGAACAGTTTTGTCGTAGCTAGTGTTGCCAACTGTCCTTCAATTCAACGTACAGTCCCTTTATTGAGCTTATCTGCCCTTGTAATTTAATGAAGTTGCAAAAGACGCAGTTTGTACTTTATCTCTAGCATCGCTTCTACTATAAAATGATGAGGAATACTTTTTTTTTTATACGGATCAAAGTACTATTATTTATTTCGTATCAGCATCATGTTGTCACGCCATGCCCAATTGACAAGATCATAAAACAATCTTTGTTAAAATTTTGAAAACAGCTTTATCATTGATCCCACAAACAACTGAGGCCAATGAGTAGCCTAATTAGTAGCACATTTTTGAGCTACCAATTATGGTTATTGATTACCATTTGAGATTTCAGCCTACATTCGTCGTCAACCATGTTTTGTCGGCGTACGATTGAATCATCTCATTGGCATACTCGACCAGTACAACACCTGAAAGTTTGCATAATCGCAAGTTAGTAAAGTTCAGTGTGACGATCGGGTCGTGAGTAAATGCCGTTAGGTATCGATTAGTATAGCGCTGTTGGTAGAGAATAGGATGGTTTAGGGAGATAGGTTGGGCTAGAGAAGGAGAGTGTTGAGGAAAATAGGGCAGTGGGTCGAGAATAGGAAGGTTGAGGGAGATAGGACAGTGGGTCGAGGATGGAAAGATTGAGGGAGATGGGACAGTGGGTCGAGGATGGGAAGGTTGAGGGAGATAGAACAGTGGGTCGAGGATGGGAAGGTTGAAGGAGATAGGATGGGAAGGTTGAAGGAGATAGGACAGTGGGTCGAGGATGGGAAGGTTGTGAGGAAGATAGGACAGTGGGTCGAGGATGGAAAGGTTGAGGGAGATAGGACAGTGGGTCGAGGATGGGAAGGTTGAGGGATATATATGACAGTGGATCGAAGATGGGAAGGTTGACGGAGATAGGACAGTGGATCGAAGATGGGAAGGTTGACGGAGATAGGACAGTGGGTCGAAGGTGGGAAGGTTGAGGGAGATAGGACAGTGGGTCGAGGATGGGAAGGTTGAGGGATATATATGACAGTGGATCGAAGATGGGAAGGTTGAGGGAGATAGGACAGTGGGTCGATTTAAGTTGGAATGAATGTATAACGTCACTAGCTAAACCCTTCAATGAAAGTTTGATCATTTTATTGTGTCCGCCGATATTTGTCCCGTGACTGCATCTTCACTTGTAGAAATCACTGATACGTCCCTGCATAGAGTATTGCTGTCATATTTTTGCTGATTGGCTCTCAAATCTTTCAGCTGGACCGATTTCAAAGATATCAAATATAATTGGAGTTATAACTGCAAACTCCCCTATCGACGAAACATTGATATAATCTTAAGTGCTGAAAGAGCAACTCAGAAATACGTTTTCAATCTACTCATAGCTAGTAGGCGGTTTAGCACGTATTTCATGTCCGCAGAATGCCGTAGTATTTTAGTCGACTCAAAGGCGAGTAACGATGAACACAATTAAATTTATATGGCAAGACATTTTAAATTCTCGGATCGGCCATGGATTGAATATTTTACGCAACGGAAATCTCGATATCCGCTAAAAAAGACGTTTAAGAAGTGGCCTAATCGCAAGACTGTTGCGCGGGAATTTCCTTATCTATATCCCCTCCCATTTAGAAAACCATGGCTGCGTCCCTGGGTATAGTTAATGTTATATTTGAATCACTGCCATATTTAAGCGCTACCGTTGTCAAATTTTATTAATGTCGTTAATGCTTCTTTACAGATACAAAATGAACCAAGTCAGTTTTTAATAAGTAAACGAATAGCTCGCGAAGCCCCTAAGTGTCTTTCACGGGGCCCTTAGGCTCAGTACGGAGCACTTTGTGAAACTATGCTCTAAAGTCACTTGTCCCAATATATTTATATCATTGTTAATTCTAGCGTCTCTGCCAAGAATAGCGCCTGAGACTAGCGATTTGGTCTGTAAACGTTTTTTAGTACCTTTAATGACTTTGTTCGTAACGCGGTGAATGCTGCAACACATTTTCCCCTCATGCCCGGGCATTATTTAAATTCATTTATTCTGCTTACGCGTCACTTGCTAATCTAATGTTATTTAATCTATCTTCTGCAACAAATACCTATTGCATTACATCAGTGAGACAAGCAGACAGCGATTGTTATCGACGCTAGGTATTTGTAAATAAACTGTTTTTCATTCATATTGTTTTTGAGTTTTGAGCGTCCGGCCCAGTAACCAAGTCTATTATCTGTGGCCAACTTAGGAAAGTAATTGCCTACCCCTGGTCTGGATGTGCTCAATATCGTGTTTCATGGCCGACCCTCCAAGAGTAGCGTGATAAATGGTATTCGCAACGGTAGCAGTGACGTCAGAATGTCCAATTTTTCTAATTCCATGTAGGGTTGGGATTTCGGGACCAGTTTTTGAAATCCCGGTATCGGGATATCCCGGGAGTGAGTCGTATAATCCCGGGATTAAGTGAAAGCTTGAAAAAAACTTGCTTAACAATAAAATCACGTATTTATTTCATGTAATATCGACGCAGAAATATTAGAGCATCTCGGGCAGTTGTTCCCAACCTTTATTTTATCGCGGCACACTATTTAGCTATTTAGGTATTCGCGTCACACCTATCACAAAAATGAACATTTTCTACTCATAAAGAGTGCGATAGTTGAACGCGAACAAATGGTTAATAGTTAACGATATTAGAACAGTTTTCTTACATTGTAAACGAGAGCGTCTTTGGAGCACCCCACATTATTGTAAAAGTTGCGCGGCCGCACGGGTAAAACGTGGTCTTCAAATGCACCGCAAAATAGTATATTTTCATCGAATCGAATAATTTTAACGAATTGTCGAATATCGGGTTAAATTCGGAATTTTATTCCGATCTTTAACTTTTGGGTCGGCTCTGATCTTTTTTGCCTGTTTGTAAATTAACTGTCCCAATTTTAGGCCATAAATAGTATCATTTCTGACGCCGGAATGCGGATATTTAAGACGATAGTTGATCTTCTTGATTTTACTTTTCGAAAGTGTGGCTGTTTTATTTTTGTATTAAATAGTGTATAAAAACCGTGCAAAGTCATTGCGTGAATCCTGGATGCTATTTTGAGTTCAAATTATGATTAAATAAGTAGTTAGTAAGGGCAATTCTACTAGTCAAATAATAATACTTTGGTACAATTTTAGAGAAATTTCGCACAATAATTCCACTACAACTCAAACTGTAAGCGTGGATGACTTTTTTTCAAAATGAGTATTGAATAAAATGGTATAACCTACCATTTGTGAGAATATCTATATGTGGATAACAAAACCTTGAAATCCCGGGATTTTTAGGAAATAATTGCGGGATTGGGATTGAAAAAAGCAGTCGAAATCCTGGGATTTCCCGGGGTCCCAACCCTAATTCCAAGCAGGCAAAGAATCAGGCGTAAAGGAAATTGTAAATTAGATACTGAAGTTTGAGCAGCAATGTAACATTTTAATTGAGAAGATTTATTTTCCCCGTTTAGATAATGAGCTACGTGGATACTCGGAGAGTATTTTTGAGAAATTTCCAACACTTAGGCCTACGGCTAAAAAGCAGGCATGCCTTAGATCTTAATTGTCTTATTTGAATAAATGATGAAACATTTACAATTACATAATTAAACTAAAATATTAAATGAATCATAAAGTTACAAATTTTTGTGGCGAAGAATGTGCCCACTGAGCCGAGCTTATTGGCAGCGGTGGAATTTTTGTATGCGTGTGTATATTTATTTGCATACTCAATACTCCTTCGTTTTTGTGTATGACCTTATCACCGATGGCAAGATATTTTAAAGGTTATAGTCGATCGCAGCGAAAGCAGGTTGACCACCCCTGGTATAAACCATTCTTAAATTCATAGGCTATCTACGGACATACAAAAAGCAAGTTCAACATGGCATTTGAGACAACGGTCAGCTTTCTTCATAATCCCAGTCCATGCATGGGGATTGCACAACTGATGCTTTAATCAAATATAAAACCAATCCTATTGAAAGAATATCCGGTGACTAATAAATATTATCACCTCGGGGTCTCCCGAAGATAAATCCCATCCCTGATAAAGAAAAAGGTACTGTGGCACAAGTATTTATTTATTCATGATTAGCAAAAACGAAGATAAATTGAGGTGATTACGTTCAGTTTGTAACGGATGCTGATATGCAACAGAACGCCTGGGCATAATTATAACTTGGTGTCTCAAGAAAGTCAAATTTTAGACTTTATCCCAATATTATGAACTCCATATGAATACTCTAAACCAGGGGTTTGCAACATTTTTTCGGCGGGCCATATAACCAACTTCAGACATCGAGCTGGGCCACACAAAAATACGAAATACTGCTATCGCTCAGTGTTACAGCAATGAAGGCAAGCGATTAAATGAAGCGATATGAGTAAAAAACATGTACGTATTTTAAACAAACTTTCGAATTAGATTTTATGCTTGATAAGAAGAAATCTCGATTGTTAACAAGGGCCACCATGGTTGGGGCCCGCAGGCTGTTTTGTTGCACGCCCCTGCTCTAGTAGCCCCTCCGCAAATTCCAAATTCAATCCACAATATATATCCATCATAACGGGAAAGTAGAGAAAAAGTGTGAAGTATGACATTTTTGAGACCTTAAATATACAGCAAACATATTAGCAAGTATCAAGCAAACATAGTATAGAGATATACTTAGCATATGGAGCGAGGTAGTAGACAAAATGGTAGAAAAACTCTTACTAGATTCGAATTATTCTATAAGGTGGTCAGAAACATTTGTGAGGTTTCAATGAAATGGTGAAATTATTGATTACTGTTACATCAGAGGTATCAAAGTAACATAGAAAAAAATGGTGTCTAGGCATTTTGAGGTGTTTACTGTTGAGTTAGGTAAGTTCATGAGCTTATATAAATCATAATTATAAACAGAAAACAAGATACACACATCTATAAAGTAATAATTACTAATATAACAAGGCACACAAAGTAAGACCTCACAAGGCTGAGAAACCAAGAATGGAAACCGAGAACTGCAAGTCATTATTTATCGTGGCGTAGGCATATAAAAAGTGTTTTAGACAATTTTTATCTTCAAAGTTGGTCCTTTTACTATACCCCATATTTCCAAAAATTTTCAGAATTGTGATAGCTTCATATAAAAAAATGATCGCACCATTCCAGATCATTTTGTTTGGCACCTTTTGAAATAGGAAGGGTATATATAGTGGGTCCTTACAGACTTCCGCACTGAAGACCATTGTCTCCAATAATTGACATAAGAGGATTTGAGTAACAAGTTTGACTTACAGTTGCCTTGCAAGTTATTTAAAAATATTAGGTTGTAAGATATCAATGCACATGGACTTTTTACGGATATATGTACAACTACAATAACTACATGTATCAGTAAACCGCTTGTCCGGTACAACCCTAACTATGCCCAAATTACCCACAAATGTATTATTATTATTTTTAAAAAACTCCCAGGCGACTATTGAGAATAGCATAACTCAACCATCTCTTGGCCGCAAAAGTTTGTGGAACGAAAACTTTCACGCAGTGAAAAGTCTGTTATGCCTGTTGCATGAACTACATGTTGGTATGAACACAGTAAAACCCTGTGAATGTTTCCACTCCTTCTTGGCATTTCTGCTGGTTGACAAGTTGTGCCAGTTCGATGCCTTGTTTTTCATCCATCTCTGATAATTCAGTTCTAACAGCGTACCGAATCATTGGATTTCTTGCTTTTGCCATCTGAAATGTAATTGAGAATAACATAATCCCTTTCCACAAAGTCGCAAGTATATTAGTAACTTTTGTTGGATCATAAACTAACATCAAAGATAAAGATCATAATAATAATTGTTGAGTTACTATAACAAACTTGGAAAAATGTAGTAAATTTAGTAAAAAAATGATTTGGTCTGAATTTTACATATGCAAAGGAAAGGTTCTGTCGTTTGGAAACCTTAATCTAGAACAGGGGTTCCCAAGCTTTTTTCAGGACGACCCCAAAGACAACTTTCAAGTGTCCAGTTCGACCCCAGGCGGTGGTATTAAGTAAAATAAGCTACTTATCATTCCGACCCAATTTGGAGTAATCCCTGATCTAGAAACATGCCTTCAACCAATTTAATTATTAAACTCACTCTGTAAAGCAAACTGTCTTCAAGATTGTCATTTTCTTTCAATTGTTGGTGGATGAAGTCGGTTTTCATCCAAGATTTCCAGTTTGACTCTAAATCTCCACGAGAGATTGATTCATCAGCTAGGAATAAAACAACAAAAAATGAAGTCAATTGGTAAGGATGGGAAAATATATTTATATTTATTTCAGAAGATAGAATATCTTCTCGCCCTTGTCAGGTATGGAACGAAATATGTGATCATTTTGTGGAATAACTTGTTCATCATGACTGTAGAAAATAATGTTCGAGATAGTCTCGTCTATCGCCCCCAAAACGTATTTTGCTTCAGGTTGTTATCGTAAGCTACAGACCTATATCAGACTAGAACAGTGTTTCCCAACCCGAGTCCGCGGTCTCAAATGAGTCCGCGGAGCGTTGGAATGAGTCTGCAGCGAGTCAGAAGTTCCCTGCGGGCCATTTTTGCGAAACTTAACTATCAGCCAAGTTTCGATCAACGCTAGAATTTACATAACACATAAAAAGCAGGTTTATTCGCATAGCATTAATAGAGTCAGTAATTACTCGTTACTGAGTAGAACTGGTTGAGTATAGGGCTGGAAACATATTTGAATATTCAACTATAAGAATAGCAATTTACTATTCGAAAATTTGGTAACATGTGACATGACAGGTCACTTGTGCGTCGTGCGTCACGTGTGCGTCGCTTAATCAGACGATTGGATTTCACAACTCACTTGCGGATTTTCGACGAAAACACAAGTCTGTACACGCTTCGATAAATACCTAAGTGGTGTTTCACGCGAGTTCGAACAACGAGGAATAAATTTTTTTTCTGGTAGGTGTCAATGGTGGCATCCCTAATTTGCTGAATTGAAAAGCGGCAATACAAAAAACTAAAAATATAACGGAGAACACCATAAGTTTTGTTTTATGATGGTCCACGACCAATTAAAAACTCTTTTTTAAGGCATTTCAAATCGCAAAATTTGGGTGCTACCGTAGTATACATACCAGGGGGGCTTTTTCCCTTAGGATTCTTTGCTATACTGCCTCCGCATTGGTAAGTGTTGTAGGAACAGCTCAGATTTGTCGAATTCACAAAAATACGAATCAAAACAAAATATAATCGGGCACTATACCACGCATTGTCATGGTATTTTCTGAGAGTTTTGCTTTTATTTCCTCAACACAACCGCAGATTAAATTTATCAGAATTAAATTAGTAGTAAAGCAAGGAGATGAATATGTATTTTTGATTTACTAATATAATTTGAATATATTTTTAAGTACTATATCAAGTTGTACTTTCTGGACATTTATAATCAAACCTAAATATAATCGGGCAATATATTCTCATATTATTAAGTCGCAGATTGCCGTGGCATTTCAAAGAAGTAATGCTTCATTTTGTCAAAAGTCAACCATGAACACAATTAAATTAAAATAGAGAGACTTTTTAAATGCTCGTCGTTGTCATCGATTGACAACGACAGAAAAGGCCATTATACACTAAAAAAGTTGGCTATTCTAACGAACGCGTAAATTGCGGCGAATTTCCGATTTTGAAATTCGATAAAATTCTGGGGCTCCTGAAGTATGCGAACCAAGATGGCAGACATCGGAATGTAATGTGTACTAGGTTAGGTCATAATTTTAGGTACAAATACTACGGGCGTCACTTGGCTAGTCTTCGAACTGATAATAGGACTAAAATAAGGAAAATTGGAATAAAATTATGGCCTAACCCTAATCTGTTATCCCTGCCTTGTTCCGATGTCCGCCATCTTGGTTCGCATACTTCAGGAGCACCAAAATTCTGTTATGTTTGGTTTTATTGCTTCTTCACAGAGAGTATAGTTGCAATAAACGCAGCTTGAGTCCGCAAAGGTTTTCGCCGATGAGAAAATAGTCCGCGACCAAAAAAGGTTGGGAAACGCTGCATTAAACTTTTTTCTGGTAGGTGGTAATGGTGGTAACCTAAATATGGGTCTCATGTACTTTCTTACCTGAATAACTTCTAGTGGGCGTGGCGTAACAATTTTTGGATATATGATTCCTGACCCCTACCTGATGACGTCATCCAAAAATTACGTCACTGCGACGTCACAATAACGAAATACAGCTTGCCAAAGTATAGCGACGGTCACCCGTAATGGCGCCTACGAGTATGTCAACAAATTCAATACGTCAGCGACCTCTCTCTTATCGGGGTCGTTGTACAGAGCTCAAAATAAACAAGAATCACAAGCGACTAAATTGTCGCCAAGGAACGTTCACGATATCCCATTCTGACCAATTTCTGTCCAGCAATAGCTCATGTATCGTGCTACAATCTAAAATAGAGCGTTATACGATACAACTCTAACCAAGGCTTTAGACAAGCAGAAAGAACATTTAATTCACCCAATGATTGAGGTTAGGTGCCGCAGACATAAAGACTTGTTATTTAATATCCAGAGACTGATCATGTATTGGGCCACATTTTATTAATAGGACGTGGAACGCTTTCACTCTATGCAAGGCTTTAGACAAGCAGAAACCGAGATATTAATTTGCCTTAGCGCAATGGATGTAGTTTCTTACCTCGATAACTTATACTTATCTTAGCGTAACAATTTTTGCATATATCATTCCTGACCCTCACCCGACTTCGTCATCCAAAAATTACGTCAATGCGATGTCACAATAACGAAATCGAGCTTGCGCAATAATAGCGACCATAATGCAATCGTGATAAATACGCCTGTGTGTCCGGTATGGGTGTAGTTTCGTACCTCAATAACTTCTAGTTAACTTAGCGTAACAGTTTTCGCATATAATAATCCTGACCCTCATCTGATTTAATCATCAAAAAATTACGTCAATACGACGTCACAATAACGAAATAGAGCTTGCCTAATAATAGCGACGATTACTGGTAATGCCACCTATGGATGTAGTTTTTACCTCAATAACTTTTAATTATCTTAGCGTAACAATTTTTGCATATAATATTTCTGACCCTCACCTGACTTCATCATCCAAAAATTACGTCAATGCGACTTCACAATAACGAAATAGAGCTTGCCTAATAATAGCGACCATAATGCAATCGTGTTAAATACGCCTGTCTGTCCGCTATGGGTGTAGTTTCATACCTCAATACCTTCTATTAGGCTTAGCGTAAAAATTTTTGTATATATGATTCCTGACCCTCACCTGACTTCGTCATCCAAAAATTACGCCACTGCAACGTCACAATCACGAAATAACGCTTGTCCAATAATAGCGACGATTACTAGTAATGACACATATGGATGTAGTTTCGTACCTCAATTACTTCTAGTTAACTTAGCGTAACAAGTTTTGTATATAATATTCCTGACCCTCACCTGACTTCGTCATCAAAAAATTACGTCAATGCGAATTCACAATAACGAAATAGAGCTTGCCTGATAATAGCGACCATAATGCAATCGTGATAAATACGCCTGTGTGTCCGCTATGGGTGTAGTTTCCTACCTCAATAACTTCTAGTTAACTTAGCGTAACAATTTTTGCATATATCATTCCTGACCCTCACCTGACTTCGTCATCCAAAAATTACGTCACTGCAACGTCACAATCACGAAATAACGCTTGCCCAATAATAGCGACGATCACTAGTAATGACACCTATGGATGTAGTTTCGTACCTCAATAACTTCTAGTTAGCTTAGCGTAACAGTTTTCGCATATAATAATCCTGACCCTCACCTGATTTCGTCATCAAAAAATTACGTCAATGCGAATTCACAATAACGAAATAGAGCTTGCCCAATAATAGCGACGATATTCGTAATGACACCTATGGATGTAGTTTTGTACCTCAATTGCCTATAGTTAACTTAGCGTAACAATTTTTGCATATAATATTCCTGACCCTCACCTGACTTCGTCATCAAAAAATTACGCCACAGTAACAAAATAGAGCTGATCACCCGTAATGGCGTCTGCGACTACGTTAACAAACTCAGTGAGGGCAGCGGCCTCCCTACCACACACACATAAGGAGGGACTTGTTATATTATGTCCAGCCATAGATCATGTATTGGGCTACAATATTAATATGGCGTTACGCGATATCACTCTAAGCAGGGCTTTAGACAAGCAAAAACGGACATATTAATTTACGTGCACATTATATGGGTGTATTTTGTATTGTGCCACCATTTATCAGTGAGGTTTATATTTTAATTTGTTTTTTTGTAAACTATACATTTTGGATAAGATAGTCCGGCAGAATCGGGCCTTATTGTTTTGGGACATAAAGTTTTTTTTTATTGTTTAGATATAATGTATATGACATATATAATGATACCCAGGTGGGTGTGGAGTAATGTTGAGCAATTTTTTTTTACAAGTGGATTTAAAGGATTCGGTCCAAGATGACGCACATTCTGAACTAGGCTTGCACGTAATTGACAAAAATCAATTCCGTAATTACGGCCAAATCGATTACGTAATGACCCCGTAATTGCGATATTTTTTTCACGCATTTAAACCTATCATAACAACCAATTTAATCCACTTCGTTTCCGAATGGGACATCGAAGTTTGGTTTACATATTCCCGGCAGTACTACACGCCGGCGACAGATGTTAAAGACAAATATCAAGGAGTGAATTCAAAATAATTTTATTCTGATTTTAATCTTTTGTATTAGCTTTGATTTTTTTCATCCACTTTATCACCAAATTTTATGCGATCAATTTTATCATTACCAACACTGGTAATATATTTAAGAAACGATAGTTCACTTTTTTAAAATCGTATTAACGTATTAATACGACTTTCGTATTAAATAAAAATTCCGGGTTGCTAATTTATTAATCAACTACAAGCGTATTCTCTCGTTTGATTATACTTTCGCTTGCCTCGCGACGAAGACTTGTTATTTCACCGTTTTTTACAATATCCGACTTTACTACTTAGTTAGCATTTTATAATAATTATTGATGCCGACTTATTGACGATATTCCGAATTCCATGCTTCATTTTACATTAAATCATTTCGCGGCCTAAAAGTTATAGTCGACGATAAATCAAAATAAGTTGCCGCATTTGGTAAAGACAGGTAATCATATTTGGCCGACATATTGCGAGGCATTGTGAAAAACAT